CCTGGGTGAAAGTTCGGGATTTGTTGGACCCATCCACCAGTGTTGCACATAAGCAATGGCCCGATGGCCCGGGGCCAATCAAAAAGTATGGTCACAGGCCCGCTCGGGCCAGTGACGCTGTAAGGTTTTTTTGTCAGTGGAACAACTCCAGCGGATATTTATCCCACTTTTCTCGAGCCTTCAGTGGATTTATTGGGCTTTTTGGCCAAAGGTGCCTCACCTTTGCTCATGCAGTAAAACGCCGGAGGAGGGGGAAACGTGCTGGTGCACTTTTGCGTCTCCGCCAACACAGACACCGCACATCATTGCCACGTATATTTCTCTCCAACGTGTGTTCCCTGGCCAACAAACTGGATGAACTTCAGCTACTGATGGTGAAAAACAGAGACTTTCTACATCTGTAGTTTTGTGCTTCACGGAGACGTGGCTGTGTGGATCGATACCGGACTCTGCGCTGCAGCTGGCAGGCTTCCAACTCTTCAGAGCGGATCGTGACACGGAACTCTCCGGCAAAACTAAAGGTGGAGGTATCTGTTTTTATACTATCAGTGGCTGGTGTAATGACATGACAGTGATCCAGCAGCACTGCTCTCTAGATCTGGAATCTTTTTTCATCAACTGCAAACCTTTTTACTCCCCCCGTGAGTTTGCTTCATTCATTCTGGTAGGTGTTTACATCCCACCGCAGGCCAACGTGCAGGAGGTACAACGCACGCTCGCCGACCAGATAGGCTACTGTGTGTGGAGCGGACTCCTTAGTTATTGTCCTTTGCGACTTTAACAAAGGTAACCTTACCCATGAACTCCCCAAATAGTAGTAATAGAAGTTAAAGCTCTGTAAACCTGTTGTGAGGTCATCTAAGAAGTGGAGCAGTGATGCTGTAGAGGATCTCCAGGCGTGATTGGACACTACTGACTGGGGTGTTTTCAGGACCGCCACCAACAGTCTGGATGAGTACACATAGGCTGTGACATCATACATCAGCTTCTGTGAGGTCTGCTGTAGACCTATATACCATCACACTACAGTGAGGTATAATAGAGTTAAATGAAATGAAGTTAAATTAAATGAAGTTTTATAGACATTTTTTCTCTCTCTCTTGTTTTTTTTTTTTTTTTACTTGGGCCAGTAAGAATATACAAGGGGCCAGTGAAACTCTGAACTACTGGCCCAGGGGGCCATTGGGGAAAAAATGTTATGTTGAACACTGCCATCCACCACCCCTCCTGCCTGCCCTATAGGGACTTTTCCAGCTCCTTATATTAAATTGTTACTGGCAGCGTTTCAACCTGACGCCGTCCAGCAGCATATCATACCGCCATGACAGTTTCCATCCTGTTGCGTATGATCTGACACGGCCTGTCCACATATTATGCTGCTGCAGCTGGTGCCATCTGGCTGGCTGGAGGCATATCATAGAACAGGAAAAGGTTACTTTCCGTCACGTAACAAACTGACGTTGCCCAGCGGTGTATCTTACTGCTGCAAAAAGTGGCTTTAGGCGTCAGGTGTCCAATGTCAATATCCCTGACAAAGCAGCGGTCTGTAATGACTATGGAATGAGAATGAGCTGGTATACCTTCACTGGCACTCAGGTCTGTAGTACTTAGTTGCTCGCTTAGTTCTGTTACAATGATAATATTTAAGAGGCACAAACTGTGAAGGACTTCTCCATGGTGTACCCGCTTCTTGCCCACCGCAAGCTGTGATAGGCTCCTGCCCCATGCCACGCTGCTGAAGATAGCTGGGTGACAATAACTGAGGCATGGTTGAAATGAAGTCCATGTGAATTTCATGAAAGTAAGAATAAACATGCTGAAACATTCATTAGCGCCTCTGTTATTCAAAGCAGGTCCAGAAGTCATGAAACTCAATCAGCAAGTAAATCAACACATCAATTTTCAGTCACACATTTCATTATCATCTCATGTATGTAGCGAGGATGCCTCACTCAACACCTTCTCACCATTTTACAGACAACACTTACCCACATAGATGTCATTTCTTCATGTGTGGATACGTTCATATATGTATGTATTATTAAACACAATGTGATTAAATATTAAGGGACAGAATAGAAAGAAAATTTGGATGAAAGAGGGAGATATCAGAGAGAGGAATGTAGGCAGAGATGCACAGAGAGATAGAGGTTATTTGGCAAGACGGAGGAATAAATGATCTTATAGTAACAGAGATGGAGGAACTGATACAGAGAGATGGACAGAGGCAGTTTTTCAGACAGAGGAAAAGAATGATGAACGGATGGGTGGAAAGAAGAATAGAGGGATGTGATATGACAGGAAACAGCTGAATAGAGCTGATGAGAGGATGCAGGCGGAGAGATGAATGGAGGGATAGAGAAAAGGAGCGATGCTATTGAAATGAGAAGCGTTTCAAGTCGAGAGGAGAGCGATGAAAGGATGGAGGAGAGGGCGGCAGAGATGGAGAAGAGCTGCTCCGCATTTTTCTCACGCTGCGCTGACCTGACTAAACAAATTAAATATGTTCTCAGAGCAGCAGTGTTCCTTAGAGACCCAGCACCACACTGAGCTTAAATTCTACTGCAAAATAATCTAATCGTATAAAGGGATTGATAATTTGACAGCGGTAATTTGGCAATAAACCACCAAATGTGTGGTGGAGATGATTGGTCACCTCTGTCTCACACCAGCAGGGTTTTCTGGAGCTCTTAACGTCCGTCTGACAGAAACTCTTTTGCTTAAATAACTGTAATGATCAAAATCAACTCATAGATGATCAGATCATACAAATCTCTGACTGTATGAGGATTCATATCTTATCAACTTATTTACTGTATCTACAGTGATTAACAAGATCCCACCACCAATTAGACATCCCAATTCAATAAACCAACAAATGGATAACTAAAAGTTTACCATTACTCACTCATTATTAATGCAAATGAAATGTCAAAAGGCCAAAACGCCATCCACCTTCGGATAACAAAAGCTTAAAACTCACCGGCGCCACCACAGTGCAGTGCACCAGTTTGCGCGTGTCAAGTGCCAAACCTTGCACACACTGGACGCGCCGCGCTAAACATACAACCACACAGAGTTATTGTAACTGAAAGATCTGCATTTCTTCCATCTCTGCATAAGCTTAAAATACTGGGGGGACACCCACTTATTAATGTTGATTTCTCACCTGAAGAGACAATCTCCAGAGCTGTGCCTTGCCAGAAAGTATCTTTTTGGCCATTGTCTCTATAATGACAACCCTCAGCAATGATTCTCTCCTTAACCAGTCTTCGTCACACGCGGGACACAGCAACGGAGTTCTCTCTCTGCATCAATGGTGAGGAGAGAAGTCGAGCTGCCATAGGAGCTTCTACGGAAGCTGGTATGCACAAGCAGAGAGCAAGCATTTAATTGCAGGTGCGGCGAGGCTGCAAACAGGACAGTGGCGTCCATGAGTGCCGACTCACGTCTAGCTGCTGCCAGTGTTGGGTTGTACATTGAAAACAATAGGGGTGTATTATTTGACTTGTGCCGTTCGCTGCCGGTGTGTTTTGGCCTTAAGTCTGCTCATATACTATGTCACTTTATAGACACTGATATGATACATATGAAATATGTACGCATTCATGGTTTGCAGAAACGTACTGTACATTGCCAACATTTTCAATTGGGGATTGGGTTGGTATTCACCTTAAGCCTGACTGAAAAATTCTCACTCAAGTGACAAATCTGCGGATCCCAGTTGTCGCTCATTATTGCCTGCATGTCCTCTGTGCTCACATTCCCGTCATGTGCACACTCTTCAATTACCCATTGACATTTGAGTGTAGTCTCAGTTGGGTTTTGAATTCTCCCGATCATTTCCACTGAATTTATCTCATTCCATTACATCTCTCCCATTACTTCCTCACATTTGGCCCGTATCCTGCACTTTACCCTGTTATGAGGACATGTGCAGACTTCCTGTTCTGTATTCTGCTCTGCAGTTGAGGCACACTTTGAATATTTCAGCACCGTAAATAAGAGAGCGTGTCTCTTTCCGCTGTTATTTGCAATCGACCTTCCTCCAGTCACTCAGCATCTAACTCAGGGGAACTTTTTAGAGTGTATACATGTGAGAGTGTGCACGCATGCATGAATGAGTGTGTGTGTGTGTAATGGCATGCCTTCCTTTTGCATATGTCAACCCTGCTTGTGTGTGTTTTCTTTTTCTCCTTGTGTGAATGTATTCAGCGCTCCACTAGCTGAATGGAGAGAAATCAATATCAATGTAAATGTATTCCTTTATTGCCTTGGCTGGAAAAGTTTAGCCACATTTTTATGCACAAAAACATCTATGGAATTTATGAAGTGAGGCAGATAGTCATGCAGAGGATAATTTGTGTTCTCTAATGTTCTCCTAAGGTTGTAATCATGAGAGTGCAGTCAGCCTAATTGATCATGTAAGTAATATTTACTTTCACTTTCCCAGGACAAGTTACTCAGCAGAAAAAAGACACAAGCTGCACTAACAAACTCTTTAACTTTAATTTACCCCCTCCGCTCCTCCCTCTGTCACCCCCTGCTCTGCCTCTCCTCCTGCCTGCCCTCATTATTCCTCCTCCTCTCTCTCATGAAGCATTTATTATAAAACTTTTTTTTTTTCTGGAGATTCATGCCTGCAAAGACTGGACAGCATAAAGGAAGGATTTTGTGTTGTTATAAGCTGCAAAAAGTTTGTAAAAGCATTAGAAATGTCCTGATATATGCAAAAAACTTCACATTTTCTGCAGCTGTTATCTCACATACAGTGTCACTGTGTGGAATAATCTTCATTTATAGAGTCATACAGCAGTGTGAGTGGGGGAGAGATGACTATCTTTGCCAAACAACAGAATCTTCAAATCAAATCGAGGAGCGACAATTTGGGCAAAGCATTAACTACATTTTTTTAATTCTAAACCTGGATTGTTAGCATCCAGTCTGAGAGCTACACAAACTAACTTCTGCTGTCTTCTGCTTCTGTTTCTGTGTTGCAGCAGGACTGTAGCCATGGATGTCATCTCCTCACTGGTCTGCCCTCTCCTCCTCTTCTTCATCCTCCTGTCCTCCCTCCCCTCCTGCTCCTCCTCCATGCTGTGTCCGAAGCGGTGCACCTGCCAGAACCTGCTGCCATCCTACACAGTGCTGTGTGCCAAGACGGGCCTCCTCTTCGTCCCGCCCAACATCGACCGCCAGACAGCCGAGCTCAGGCTGATGGACAACTTCATCACAACGCTGAGGCACCGCGACTTCGCCAACATGTCCAGCCTGGTCAGAGTTCACTTTTCTAAACGCCTTTAAATTCATGTTTGCTTTGATTTGCACAATCACCAGCTCCTGCCAGGCAGTTTGATATGGATGTGATCTAACTGTGCTCTTCTTTCGCTCTGCTGTTTTGTTTCTGTGGGTGCCAGGAAGCTACTGTAGTCAACGAGTACTTGTTGAAAGTTGTGTCAATTCCATCTGTAAGAAAATATTACTGATACAATATATAAGTTATAAAGAAGCTTAATGATGTTACTGAGGTTCTCATATCGCCAGAAAATGTTGACATCCTACATTTCTGCAAACCACAGATATTTTACATTTGTACATTATGTATTGCTGTGGTTAACATGGTCAGGTTCAAGCACAATATGGTTATGGTTAAGAAAAGGTCGTGTTTTGGCTGAAAAGAACTTGTTTTGGTGGCACAATCATGGCAGAAAATAAAGGGATGTCTCGGTAAAAATCAAATACTTTTTGTGACACAGTCCCCGCTGAAAAAAACAGCCACTGCTCATGATAACACAACTGGTGTTGTTGTTTGTTGGTTTCAGTCAGTGCTCTGGCAGGTGTCACGCCTATGTGTCAAGCCATCCACCATCCTCTCCACCTGCTAATGTCAAAGTCAGCTCTTGTACTAGGTCACTTTAGAAACATTGACATGAACTTTGGAAACATACTAGTGTAACATCTGCGTGGTTTGTAAAAACTTACATTGCCAACATTTTCTTCCCACAACTGGGTTGAATTAGGGGTTCTTAAATGCGCTGCTTATAAAACTCACATCATCATCATGGCTTATACTTAATGTACACTGACTTACTTTTATTTGTCGTGACTGGCTTAGTCATGATGAATCTTGACCCTGAACCAAGGGCTTCACAGAGATGTTGCAGGGAAACATGACAAAAAGCTTTCATCATACAGGAGAAGGCATCTTTCATTTGTCTGTGCTCACAAGCCTCAGTCCAGCACATTCAGTTCCAGCACAGGAAGTACTGTGTCCTTAACACAAGGATGTGGAGGGGACAGTGGTGGATGGTTGCGTAGTGCATCTGACTTTTATGTCGGAGACTCGATTTTGTTTAATTTTATTTTACCAAAACCACCATATTTCAAGAACATACTTCAACAAATAGTTTATTTGCCATAACCACAATATTTCTCAAATCTTTACCACAATATAGTTGCCATGTTGTAGAAACAAGAAACTCAATGAGTAAAAACCAGGATTTTGCAGAATCAGTATCAGCATTCTTTTCTGGATTATAGGGTTGTTTTAAAGCTTTTCAGCCTAAATAGTGTCTGATCATACTGTGTATTGTTATTTGGCAAGCCACTGGCTCTCTTTGACAACTTACATTTACAAGAGTGGCAGCTTCAGCAAATAAGCGTGGATTAATATCATTACAAGCTACTCATTCCACTGGAAATAAAAAAAAACCTCACAACCACTCGTTTACTCATAGATTCAAAGATGCATTGCATCCTAAAATTATTGACAAACCTTTACCAAAAACAGTGTATACCAGTCAATAAACACAGAAACGTGCACTTATAGCTATCATTAGTGGCCACCCTGTCGCAGATTTGCAGCCATTGTGCCAGGTTCATCAGTCCAGACTCTACGAGAAAATGGGGACATCGTAGGCTTTTGCAAACCACAAATACGTCACATATCTGCGTTTTATGCGTATCAACATTTTTAAAGTGACGTAGTTGGACTCACTCATCTAGAGCTGGAGGGGTTGGTGGATGGCATGACATCAAGAAGAGACTGCTGCCAAGCTGCAGAACACTGTTTGAGACCAGCAGACAACGAGACTGATTGTGTTTTAGTGAGTCATTGCTGTTTTACAATTGACTTTTTATGCACCAAACATGTGTTTTGTAGGGGGTTTTTTGTTTGTTTGTTTGTTTTATTTTTTAATGAGACATTGTTGCGTTTTCAGTGCCCCCAAAACCAGGTATTTTAGGCCAAAACATGATGTTTTTCTAACCATTGGGTTGATTGATTGGGTTGGTTTTGTCTCACTAAACAGATTATAGGAAATGTAGGATATTACTATTTTAAATGTAGGATACAAGGAAGACTCGGACAAGTGGGTACTCAAAAAGTGTAAATTGCATCATTTGATTTGAGTAACTTGGGGAGTGAACTGATACTGAGTAATGGTGGGATAGTATCTAAGGAAGACGTTTTAAGCATTCAGCATTCTAAAGAAAACCGCTCAGCTCTGTGCTCTCAGGAACATATAAACACAGCAAGGAGAGTTTTCATGTTTATTCCACGCTGAACGCAGGAAACATTAGGAACATCTGCTCCTTCCAACACAACATATGACTGAGGTGAAATCTATAATATCGCACCGATTTCACCACTTAATTCCACTGTAATCATGAAACGGAGATGGAGAGGCTCCAGTGCGCACGGCACAAAAAGAAAACTACCAACATCGTGATATCTAAATGCCAAATAGTGACACTCATCACAGCTGGAGACTTCCTTAGTGTTTTGAAAAATAAGTTTCCTCTCCGGTGTGATCACAACAGCACAGATGATGTTTGCTCACACACAGGGCAACGTGGGAAATGAGTTTTTAATCATTTGGTGGAAAGCGTGACAGAGCGTCACAGATGTCTCTGGTGATCACGGCGAACAGGTTTACAAATGCGTGGGTGTTGATTGACCTTTTCTTGGGTGTTAATAGAATATATTTATGCATCCTCACATCTATGTATCCCATGAGGAGTGCAAGTATTTAGTAGCCTACAAACTCCCGACCTCAGCAGTGTGTTTCTAATAGTACGAGTATCTATTAATGAAGCCCAGCCCATTTGTAATTCCATGTCTCAACTGACCTGCTGTGCTTGAGTATTAATTACTAAAATTATTATTAATGAAGGGTGACAGGGTGTCTTGGTGTTTATGGGCCACCCTGTAGCCTGACTGCTGGTCTAATCCCCACAGCCCTGACTGTCCAACCTGCTGAACTGTTCATAAGTGAAACATGGAATCCTTATTATCTCCTGGGTGATGGCCTGATCTGCTTACCCTGAACTTTGACCTCCCTGAACAGGAGGACAGAAAGATTGGCACTCTGAGACATGTTATAGTGTTAGACAAGAGTAAAACCTTACTAAATTATTGCTGACATAAAATTGAATTATTTCTGTAGTGCTTTATAAAGTAAAGAAATTGGGTAACTTTGGTAGCAACTTTGCTCACAGATACAGAATGTTAAACCAGTATAGACCGAATCAGAATGTTTATTTGCAATAACTTTCTGGTGAAAAACCTTCACATCACGTACATAAAATAGATAAAACTGCACTGAAAAAATTGGTTTGTTTGTAGCCACGTAAAAAAGGCCCACCAAAAAAAACAATATTAGTTTAAGTGTATGCTATATAGACAGCCTACTCCAACAGGGAATTGAAGCTATTTTATCAAAGCTACCCGACTTCATTGACAAAAACAGTAATTCTACTTAGCAGAAGACCGAGTTGCCAGTCTACCAGGGCCTTGATTGGGTAATGTGTAAAGTAAGCGGAGCGAATAATGAAATATAGCATACACTTATACTGATATTGATTTTTTTTTTTTGGATGGCTAAAATACTTTTTGCTGTTCACAGCAGTTTATCAAAGATGATAGCAACGCAACACAGTACATCAATAAGCACTGCAGAATTGTCAGATAGGTCAGACCACTGTGTTAAACTATATATGTCTAAATCTTACAGGTCAGGCTCACAATGACAGCAGAACTTAACAAGTTTGCAGATTTGAGGTTTCTTCACAGTTCAAACCAATTGCCAGTTGTTTACCCAGAAGAGACAGTTGTTGCTGATATGATGTCACAGTGATTCTGTCCATTTTAAGAGAAATTTCATGTGTTCTAAATCAAAATAATCTTATCTTTCTCTGCATGTCCAGATCCATCTGACCCTGAGCAGAAACACCATCAGTCAAATCCGGCCGTACGCCTTCGCTGACCTTCAGGACCTCCATGCTCTCCATCTGGATGCCAACCGCCTCACCGTCCTGGACGACTCCCACTTCCAGGGCCTGGTGAACCTGCGGCACCTCATCCTGGCCAACAACCAGCTGCACAGCATATCAGAGGGAGCCTTTCAGGTACCAACACTTTACCTGACATCAAGAAAAATACATGATACCAAACAACACAAATGCCAAAATAACTTTTGGCATTGTAGTTTTCTGCAAACCATGGATAGGTTTCATCTGATTATTATGTAGCAGATACATTGAAACTTGACACTTCAACAGCACTGTGTTTAACCCCTCCACCTCCAGATGACAAAGTCAGCTCATGTACTATGTCACTTTAGAAACATTGATATGATATGTATGAAAATACAAATGTAAAGGTTTGCAGAAACGTATAATGCCAACATTTCTCCTGGCGACTGGGCTGGTGTGTGTGCGTGTGTGTGCTCTACCGTTGAAGACTCTCAGTTTGAAAAAGTTATTGCAAAGTCAGTGGTGCTGAGGGTCAAATGTTGTGCGAAAGTGGCGCCCCATTTCTGGCTCTGACTCTGAAGTCCAACAGAACCAGCCAGCCACGCCTGCCTCCTTTGCCCAGCTGGACACCTTTTTAATAGCCCAGCCCTAAAATAACTGTTTCCCTTTCCTTATATGTCACTGTCCTTTCTCTGCTCATTAAAAGTCCAGTGCTGACGTACCAAAGTGTCCCCTCAGGACCAGCTTTTAGACCTCTGCAGGACTTTGATGAAGAGACAGCACAGAGATCTGAACTCTGAACTCACTAATCGACAGGACCTGCTGAACCTCAGCCTGAACTTTACCCTCTCTCCTGCCTTCATCACTTCATCTCTCCCTCCTGTTCTGTTATTGTTCAGCTAAGACTTGCACAGATTTTATCACTTTTAGCTTTTTAAAAAATAAATTTCTCTCACTGGATTATGAATGTAACTAAGAATAAACAAAAATCAGAACTGAATGAATGATAAATCTAAGAAAATTACAAGTAACTTTAAAAAGAAAAATGTTTGCAGGAGCCCTCACCCAGTCACTTTGTTTGATATGACTAATTGCCTAATTATGTTAAGACAAAACAAAATTGATAAAAAAAAAAAAATTACCCCCGTGCCTAAAGATGGAGAATTGTTGATCAAGACATTCCTAAATTACAGATTATGTTTCTTAAGGATCAGTTGAGTTTTTAAGTTGAATTGGCATTGAAGCTGGCCAAGCCTGTTGGTAAATGAAATCCTTTGATTGGCTGTCACGAGAGCTGGAGATCATTTGCATGGTCCTGTTTAAAACAATCTAAAATAAGAACCATAATAGTTCCAGCATTCACTCTTTTGTAGCAGAAAGTTAAGGCTTCTGCCTACCCTGTCATCACATAATTACCTTACATTACTGTGCAAATGTGGTATATTGCTGTAATTACACCAATATTTCCCTGTAATGGCCATGGGAGATCGCTGTTTGCATAATACTGTATATATTGATCTAAAATAAAAACTATAATAGCTAGAACATTCATTCTTTTTGCAGCAGAAAGCCAAGGTGTCTGTCTTCCCTGTCATCACATTGTACACTCATAATAATGTCATTACACTAGATTATGTGTCGTGCAAACAATGTGAAAACACGTGCAGGCGCCAGAGGAATGAATGATGAATATATCACACTGCCTTTGCACTCTGCTCATAAATATGAGCATATCTCAAAAATGTAATGATGTACAAAGTTCAAATATCTTATGGAGTGTTGAGAAATATCTTGTTTGTGTTTCTACATACAAACATATTTTGCATCAATATATTTTGTGTGTAAATCTGATGGAAGAATGTCAGATTTTTGAATTTTTGTTTACGACACAATTCAATATTTTAATCAGTTATTCTTTATTGACATGCATAACTTAGTTTGTAAAGACTTCAGGTATATGACGCATTTGAAGATATCCCAAGAAACAACATCACAGTAAGCTAAAATGGCAATGTAGGCACTGGGGCCGTACACATGTCCCATCTTTAACCGCCTGGAAAACACAAGGTTGGATGTTGGGCAAACTTTCAGGGGCGCGGAGGCAAGTGGCGTCTGAGGTTGCGAAATGACCATAACCAGCACTATATCATTGTTTTGTAAGTGTGTATTATGCCAAAAATATTTTCTGTTGGACAAATGTAAAGCTCAGGCAGCTCTGTACTAAAACGATGAACTTGTTCTCCATATTAACCACAGACTGCTGTGCTCCAAAAGTTGAACTGTGGTTATATAGGTGCGCAGCCATCGCGCCCTGAAAAATAGGGGCTCGGGAAGGCATGCCCGTCGCAATGATGTCACTCTGGCATTGCTCTGGTGCAAAAAATGCAGCATGTGTACGGCCTGTTTGTGTGCTAACTGGCTAACTAGCATCTTGAATCTGTCCTGTTGGTCTTCTGGCTTCCCTTCTTTAATGACGAATACAGACTACTGCCACCTGCTGCTATGGCGAGTTATTTCCCTCTTTGCTCTGTGTTCAAGTGCAACTTTTTGGCCCAACAGGCGACAAGCAGTGATGCACCACCCAGCCTTCATCACCACTAGTTCTTTGATGTTGGTTTGGTGTGTCTGGGCCTTTAGTTGCCTTACCCTAACCAGATGTCAGCCCCTAGGCATAGGGGTGGCAGATCAGAAAACACTCATACAAGTCATTTTTAAAGACACTGACAATCTATTTTGTCGTTTGGGGATGGGAGAACACCAGTCTCCAGTGTCAGAGCCAGATGCTTCATACAACCATCCATCCACCCTGAAACAGAGCATAACCATGAGTCATTGTCAGCACTTTGAACAAAAAAAAGAAAAACAGCACAGTCATTTGTTCTGGAAAGGCAGTCGTGAATTTTAGGCCATTTAGGACAGATTTTCTGCTCACAGAGCTCTTTGAACTGCTCCTCACAGCTCCTAAAGTTTCTTTTGTCATTAAGAAATGAGATTCTCTTAGTTCAGAAAGCAATAAAGCGCAGATCATTGTAATGAGAATTGAGGCATTGTGACATTCAGACATTGTCCTGATTGTGTGAATTATGAGAGCAATTACAGCTGCGACAACAACACTTTGGCTGATCAACAGGCCGTTATCGCTCTCCTTCACCCCCCCCCCTCCTGTTATTCCCCCCCCCCCCCCCTCTCCTTTTCCCTCTTTGTATTTTTGCTCATTGTAATGTGTGCTGACTCGTGGCATTTCAGCGGTGCACTGATTGTTAGAATTGTATGGAAGCAATTAGAGAAACATGTTTTGAGTGCACAACATTGACCGGGGTAATTGATCTCCATTTCTGTCTTTCTCTATTATTCCCTGTCCCCCCTTCTACCCCTAAATTTCCCTTTCTTCCTTCCTTCCTCCCTTTTCCCCTCTACTACATTATCTCTATCCATCCAACCCTCAATTTCTCTTTTCATCTCCCAAAACATTTCTTTTCTTTCTCTCTAAACACAGCCTCCATGCATGAACAACATTATGAAGCTGTTAAAGCCCAGATTTCTTAGGGGGTGGCCTTTTTTCTCTGTTCTCTTAAAATTGGCAATGATGCTTTCTGTTCACAGTCTCTGCTTCTGTCATCTCCTCCCCCCTGCAGGATTTCCTGGAGACTCTGGAGGACTTGGATTTGAGCTACAACAACCTGGTGGACATCCCCTGGGAGACCATTGCCCTGCTGGTCAGCGTCAACACCCTCAGCCTTGATCATAACCTCATAGAAAGCGTCCCTGAGGGAATCTTCTCCAACCTGCACAAACTGGCCAGGTCAGAGTCATGTCAGAACTCTTAACAGCATCAGCAGCCCGTGTGGGTTGAACAGAAAGAGGAAGAAAAAGCTCACAAAGGTGTGAACTTTAGCTTTTCATTGGAAATCCAAAGAGAAGTCTTTATATTTTGCATCGTCCTGCTTCCTTTGGCCTTTAAATTAAACTCCATGCAGCGTCCACAAATAAGTACACTACACTTTCAGCACATCAGCATTCAGCAAATCTGGACACTGTGACCATGGTCTTCTTGTACCAAGACAGTATATCCCATAAGTATAAACGTTCAGCACTGCAAAGGGGTATGATATAACATACAGCTGTAGCTTTCTTCATAGTTTGATGGATGTTTTTAGCCTCCTTTAACTCATAGTTTTATAGCACATGCACTGTGTGATGCAGTCTCAGCCACATGCACCGAACCTTATAGGCAGTTTGTCTTCAAACAAGCACTCATAAACCCACTGTGTGCTACCTGCCCACCACCACACCAACAGACTTAACTTAGAGGCCAGCTGGGTAAGAAGGTGGAACATTTAGAAACTAGAGAGATGGATATTTTAGTCAGGATTTGGTGGAGATAATGTTCTTTCAATCATCAGGATGCATAAGTAGGCAACAGTCATATTGGAAATATAAGAAAACTGAGGAAGTCACATTTTATGTAGGAATATTACTGTATCTAGCAGCCCAATCCAGTCACTGGAAACTTTGTTTCTTTACATTTCAACAATGCTGTGGTTAACGTGTGCTTAAGTCTGAGCACAAAAACAACTTGGTTAAGGTTAGGAAAAGATCACAAAGATCACTGGAAACACAGCAGTATCTTGGTATAAGAAAAATAAACACATTTTAAGAAATGCTTTTTGTGGCACAGTCATTGCTGGAAAAGCAGTGGGTCAATAATAAATATCCTTGTTTGATGGCTAAAAAGCAACTAAACTCACTCAAACACTGTTATTCCCTGATATATATTACACTTATCAAGGTATTTCTAAAAAGGTAGTGAAATGTGCTTGAGAAAGAGCCGCTCATAAACCTCAAAGAATTATAAGAAGGCATAAGTTACACTGATGCATAATAAATGAGCAAAATTATCAATGGAAGAATTTTCAAAAAGCTGCAGCCAATTCTGCATTTGAACTCTAAATCTTCCAGAGACCAAAATATTTGAATAGATCCAGAATAAAGGACTCATCAAAGAGCTTCAGTGCGTCTCTCTTCTGGGAGTACATCTTTTTAAAGGGAATTTTTGTTTTGACTTAAGCATCAGAATTAAAATAAACCATTACGAATTATGTTTTGTTCAACTGTATCAGTCCCCCTGATGAGCTGCTTTTTTAATTTAATTGATTTTCAAACCAATTACGCATAAAACTAAAGCTTCTGGCGAGATAAAACTGAACTGAAAGCATGGCGCAAATCCCTCCATGAGGCTCAGTTCACTTTCAAAGGCAAACTCCTCTTCAGCAGTAGCAGCTTGCTCCACAGATGCCCAGTACGACCAGATCTCCACTGGAGCAGCTGGGGGTTCAGCATCTTGCCTGAGGGCACAATGATAGTAGATGATGGTAAATGTTACAGCCTTTACTGACTTCCAGACAGAATGGGAATGTGTACCACTGACCTCAGACAGACAATGCTGAATTGCTGTCCCGGGTGTTTTCACAGTCCAACCTCAATAAGGAGAGTAAAATACACATGAACTTAACCTACATATTATTATAAACTAAGACAAAAGAATCATAACAACAAATATATTGTCATCAAATGGACGGACGGACGGACAGACGATAGATAGATAGATAGATAGATAGATAGATAGATAGATAGATAGATAGATAGATAGATAGATAGATGGATGGATGGACGGATGGATGGATGGACAGACAGACAGATGGATGGATAATACTGTATTTTTCTCCCTTAGGAGACATTTGAGAGAACAGAAGCCCTGCACGTAGTAATTGCAGGGATGCCATGCACAATGTTGTTTTACAGCAAATGGCCTACATTAAATGTACAATGCAACAGATTTGGGGTTTGCAGAAACATACAATACCAACATTTTCTTCTGGCGACTGGGCTGAGCAGCCACTGTTTCACCTGTGACACCTCCCTAATTAAAGAAGATTGGTTTCCTGTTTTTGACTTGTTTTGTGCTTTATTATTCCTGGCTTCTGCCCTGTAAACCACTTCTAGTTTGGCCTTTGTGGTTTTGAAAATAAGGGGTTGTTCTTATTAGACGTGGCTGCATGTGTGCAATGAGTAATTTTACTCTCCTGGCACAAAATAACATTTGAACCCCATTAACAGTAATCAATTTCAATTTACGTCCCAGCAACCAACAGTCATCGATGTGCAAGAAGGAAAATCAGCCAGGTTTTTGATAAATAGTGGTGCATTTATTAAAAAGGGCTGTAATGGGTTGTTTTTGCCCTGGAGACACAAAACTTATGGACCAGCTGGTGTAACTCTGAATGTATCCGTGTGCACAGGTGAGTGTTCACTCACACACTCACAAATGAACACACCATGAGGCTGCTGCCCATGAAATAACATAATTGAAATTTGTAAAGTGCAGCATGCTTGCTGCTCTCAACAGCTATTAACTTCTTGTTAAGTCATCGGTGTTGTCGAATATTTCTGCAGGGACTTTGGGAGAAAATAGACTTCCCCATGTTTGTTGCTGACGACAGTGAAATATTTGAATCGCCCACAATATTACCAGTCATCAGGTCCAATGTTTTGGCCAGCAAATTACTGTTCCAATTCCCAGAGATGGTGCAGTGGCTGAATGACAAAAAATACACCCTGGAATATTTGTCCATTGTTGGATCTCATTAGTCTGATGATATTTTGTGATGCAGTGCGATTTTACTTTTGTGTGAGCCCAGTTTCCCTGCCCCGTCTTGTTCTACTTTAATTAGATATTTTTACATGTTGGTCAGAATGCCTCTGAGAAGAGCACAAACATCTTTGATTCAGCTGTGGTTCTTGCATGTTGAGCAGGACAGAGATAGTTTGCTGAAAACATTTATATGGACTCCCTGTTCACAAAGCATTATGTCACATGGCATTCGGTGTATATTTTGCTGATATAGAGATCTGTGCTTCTTCTGCAGTAGATCTTCCTTCCTGCATCAGGAGTACTTTGATCCTTATGGTGAGATTGACCTTAAAATCTGACATTTAAAGCTGCATTAATTGGTTATCCTAGCCTCGAGGGGGGCAGAATAACTCTTGAATATGCTGACAGACACATTGCCCTAACATGTTATTACCTTTCTAAAGTTGTTACCACTAATGGATTAGCAGGAGATTGTCTTAACACATCCAACAGTTGCAGAGCAACATTGTCATTCATCTGGAGTGATGTTGGTATCCATTTAATGATATTCACTCTCTTTTAGCTCTCTTTTTGGTCTCCACCAATTCCTATCAAAATATCTATCTCTTTAGCTGCTAAATGCTCCACTATGTTCACCAGCTAGTCTCTAACTGTGTCTGCTGTTTGATGCTGAGCAGGAAGTGAACAGTGGGTTAATGAGAGCTTGCTAATTAAACTGTAAGTGTTGCATAAAACCAAAACTAGAAGCTAAAAGAGGATTTCAAAAAAATCTCTGTGAGTTTGTCACCGCAAGCAAACTGTCATTTCAACCCAGTCTTACACTGAACTTGTCGAAATCTGCTGCTTGGTTAGTTTCTTCCAGTGCCAGGCACAGATGAAAAAAGCTGTCCTTTCACTTTGGCATAATACACAGCCAGCCGCCGGTATAGTTTAACAGTGCCCGGCAGTATCAGGGTGAAACGTGGCTGGATAAAAACAGATGTTAATGCAGCAAAAGTCAAAGTACGGTGTGTGGGATGGGTGGTGGATGGGTCCAACAAGAACCAACCTTAACCTTGGAATCCAGTGTTCACTTCCCATAAGACTGTGAAGCTAGCTAAACCCTGTTCGTTTCTCTTCCCAACAATGTGCGTGTGTTGGCAAAACGTAACAACATGCATTTGTTGTTGAAGGGGAAAAAAAACATAAATTTACGGTGTATTTATTTTAAAAGAAAATGTATGCAAACTTTCCTGTGAAAAGGGAAGTATTTATTTGAAAGAAGACCATGCAGTGTCCCAGAACGTCAACAACCAACGCACCCCTTGCACATCGTACCTGGACATGGAAAGTCCATGACTAAACGTTTATGTGTGACGAAGTCAGAGTGAGAATGTATTGGTCATTTGCTTTCATATAATTCATTTTAAATTAGAAAAAGGTAAACATTTTTGTGGACACCATAGTATTCACATACATCTGTGATGCTAAGGGTGTCTGGATCTGCCTCAAGAAAAAAGGGTAGCTACACAAAGGTCTGAAATTTAGGAGGAAAGGAGGGGAAAAAAGAAAAAAAATCTAATGGGCTGTGAATACGTGTTACAGCACTGTCATCTGTTAATGTTGTGATGACTTTCTGTTGTGCCTGAAGCCTATCCCTTTTCCTTAGGAAATATTCTCTTGACTTACCAGCACATCCTGGGCACTTTGTGTTTAAGTGTCTCTGGAGCTTTGATAGTTTTAGCGCCTCATTTGACCGGATTTCCCTGCATTCAACACTCTTTGCCTTTGGCTTAGCATCCCTGCCTGCCATTATGAATCCAGATTTAATGTATTCAGGGTCATATTTCCTCACCACAAGCTTTGGAGCTTTTACTGGAGCAGGGTTGTCTCCCACATCACTTTTCATTTCAAAAACATCCAGTTGTGTCACTGCATTCGAGGGAACGTTAGTGAGCTAACAGCTGCAAAACATGTCTCTGCCTCATGATGTGTTATGATTGGTGTGGTGATATTTAAATGTAAGTGGTTCTTGAAATTATGGATTTTAGCCTGACATTTTTGTAAATTACCACAAACTGTAATTTTTTATTTAATCTAACCATTTGATGGTACCTCTGAGGCCCATCAGTGAATATAGTCGATAAAGAAAAAGCCTTTCATCCTTTTTAAATAAAAAGTGAAGAAATTAATAAGAATGTTGATTTAATGAGTAAAGAAATGATTGAATTGATCTACTTTTATAACACTGAACTTCACCATATATACCTCAGCTGCAGCCAGAAGGAGAGAGATTAAGGAATATTGGAACTGTGTTTCTGCAAATTCATTATATTTGCAAGTTTTTATGTTGAAACAGTGCCATGGCTAACGTGTAGTTAGGTTTAGGCACAAAACCACTTGATTCTGGTTGGGAAAAGATCATGTTTTTGGTTTGAATGCCTACTTCTTTTGCTACCATCCTGGCTGGAAACGCAGTGATGCTCAGTTTAAAAAAAAAAAAAAGTCAGCAAGGAAAAACTGCAACAGGCTGCTACAAGACACCCAGGTTTTGGCTACAGGTAAAACAGCAATTACTCGCTAAATCACAACCACTTTTTGTTGTTTGTTGGTCTTGGACAGTGGTCCACAGCTTTGCAGCTGAGATGACACGTCATCCACTATTCATTCCTGTCTGTCAGACATGACTGCCCACCTGCCAAGAATATCATTGTGGTGGAGAAATGTCTAAATCCATTTAGTTTTAATTTAGGTTATTAGCTAATTTCCTTAATGCCCAAAATAAAGCTCTAATTCTATTAGATCTGTTTTCATTGGTAAATGTTCATGTTGTCATTTAACTAGAAATGTACAGTATGTAAATTACCTACCTGCCAAAACTTTCTTTGGTTCAGTGTCTGTTGATTAACAGTATATTCTACAAATTAACAAATTGATTTTTTCCTTTCTTTGATGAGAGAATGAGATGAAAGTTAAAGACTGATTCCTCTTTCTTTGTCTCTGTCCCCATCACCAGATTGGACATGACATCCAACAAGCTAAAGAAGATTCCTCCAGACCCATTGTTCCTGCGGATTCCCGTGTATGCCAAGATGAAGGGTTCTCCTCTCACGGCGCTGGTGTTAAGTTTCGGTGGGAACCCTCTGCATTGTAACTGCGAGCTGGTCTGGCTCCGCAGACTGACCAGAGAGGACGACCTGGAGACCTGCGCTTCGCCCAAAGACCTGGCTGGCAAATACTTCTGGACCATTAGAGAGGTTTGTTAAAGTTCTTGGAGTAATTTCATGTCATAGAATCCACAGGATACTGATAGTAAACACTCTGAACTAATGGAGAGGTCAGACATTACAGTGTGTATTCTGTACTGCAGAGCTAATTTCCTCCACAATATAGAAACAAGGATATAGTAATGCACAAGTGCATCATCACACTTGGCCCTTTAATTAAAAAAAAGAAGAAAAATGTCATCCATCACTGAGTTCAACTAATGTAAATCTCCAGTGTTGTTTTGGGACACTTGCAGCTTAGCAACACAACAGCAAAAATGTGGGCAATGTACATTTTTACAAACCACATAAATGTTACATTTGCATGTTATTATGTAGCAGATATGTTGAAATTTAATGTTAACAATACTGTGATTAACGTGGTTAGGTTTAGGCACAAAAACCCTTGGTTATGGTTTGGAAAAGATCTCATGTTTTGACTTAAAACACCCAGTTTCTAACCCTCTGTCTGCGTTGGAAAAGCAGCAATGTCTCCAAAAAACAACCGGATTTCGTGCCACTGTCCCAGCAGGAAACACAGTGATGTCTCAGTATAAAGCAGCCACTTTTGGTGGCAGCCTGGCTACAGTGCTGGAAAGAAACCTGGGGTTGTTCTTGTTTTCTTCTATTAATGCTGAGTAATAGTTTGCTCTGGCATTGCGGAGGCCCCTCTTATAAGTTTTGAGACTGTCTGTCCAGATTAAACGAGATTCTTCCAGTTTGGTTAATCGCCAATTCCTTTCAAATTTTCGCGATATTTGTTTTAACCTACGGGTTTGAGAGTTATACCAAGGAGCAAACTTTCTTTGCTTTGTTAACTTCTTTTTAAGAGGAGCTACAGAGTCGAGCGTTGTTCGCAGCGAGCCTACGGCGCTATCAACAAAATGATCAATTTGGGAGAGGTTAAAGTCGGCACGGGAAACCTCTGTTACTGAAGGTATTGGTATTGAATTTAACGACGAAGTAATCTTTTCCTTAAATTTTGCGACAGCACTATCTGATAAACATCTAGTATAGTAACTGTTGCTGAGTGGCGTGTAATCGAGTAAAAAGAAATCAAAAGTAATCAGATAATGATCTGATAGCAAGGGATTCTGTGGAAAGACTTTTAGGTTATCAATTTCAATTCCATACGTCAGAACTAGATCGAGGGTATGGTTAAAACAATGAGTGGGTTCATGTACACCCTGACTGAAGCCAATGGAGTCTATTAATGAGATAAACGCGGTAGCCAGGGAGTCATTATCAACGTCGACATGAATGTTAAAATCGCCTACAATAATAACTTTATCTGATTTAAGAACTAAACTGGATAAAAACTCTGAGAATTCAGATACAAATTCAGAATACGGGCCAGGAGCACGGTACACTATAACAAATAAAAGTGGCTGCGAGGTTTTCCAGGTTGGATGTAAAAGACTAAGAACGAGGCTTTCAAATGAATTATAATCTAGTTTAGGTTTAGGGCTGATTAACAGACTAGAGTTAAAAATGGCTGCAACTCCCCCTCCTCGGCCGCTGCCTCGAGGAATGTGGGTATTATTATGACTGGGAGGAGTGGACTCATTTAGACTAACATATTCATCTTGACACAGCCAGGTTTCAGTGAGACTGAGTAAATCAATATGATTATCTGATATTAATTCGTTTACTAACACTGCTTTAGACGATAGAGACCTGATATTTAACAGTCCGCATTTAATTCTCCTGTTTTGTCTTTCTGTCACAGAAGAGGTTTTAATTTTTATGAGGTTGTTATGCACAACTCCTCTTTGTTTAATTTTAGATTTAAATAATTTAGGTGGTCGGGGGACAGACACCGTTTGTATAAAACTATGAAAACTATGGCTGGGTAACTGAACTAGAAGCTCAGAGAGGCGTTTAGGACTGCAACTCTCTGTCCTGGTCTCAACTCTGGGTTGTCAGGGATTTAAATTACTAATAAAATTTGCCAGGTTCCTAGAAATGAGAGCAGCTCCATCCAAAGTGGGGTGAATGCCGTCTCTCCTAATAAGACCAGGTTTTCCCCAGAAAGTTTGCCAATTATTAACAAAACCCACATCGTTTGCTTTGTGTAATTGAGTTCTGATTTAGAATGTTGATGAAACTTTGACCAACGTTGAGATCCAGGAAGTATTTTCTGTTTTCATGGTTAACTAAAGATTGTAGTAAGTTACAGATATTATTTGGGCCTACACACTGCTTAAAGGGGCCAGTGGGATGATGTATATTTAGAGATGAAGATTCATCATTACAGTGATTTTTAGGAACCATATGTGTTACCATTGACATGGATTTGTTGAGGCCTGGACCTGCTTTGAAGTCTGCAAACAGAGGTCGTCTAAAGTGGCCCCTGGTTGATCTTATTACCTTTCTGGGAATAATAACACAAATATTGTTCTTCTTGATAACAGAAGCCTGAAGTCATCATTAGCTGGCTAATTCTGTCACTTAAAAATGTGTGATTTAAACATGGTAGTCATAGAAATTGCATTCTGTGTGTTTGGCATCATAATCCTCTAATCCCTGCAGCAAAATGTGTTTTTTGTGCTGTCTTAACTTTCAGCCCTTTGTGGATTCATGATCACTTTCTTTCTCAAGGACACTTGAACAGGGCAGATGGTTGGTGTCACAGAGGAGTGAACCTTCTGGTGAAAGTGTGGAGTCATGGAGTTTGATATGCAAAAATGCAGAACCATGACATTGCATTATTTATTTATCCCTTATATAGTAAAGGAGCTAGAAAGCAGTCACTTATATCACTGTAGAGTTAGAAGACACAGAGAGGGGATACAGAGGCTCCTTTTATGTTGCAGGAAATACCCAGGATCTGCTTTAAAGTAATGTGGGTCAAATTCACCCATATAAGGAGGAAACATAAAACAGGTGTGGTCCCCCATTTGGCCTTTATGCACATAGCTTTGTCTATTTATTGGTTTATTTAACAAAGACGATTCACATTAATAAACATTACTGTGGCAGTAAAGCTATTTTCCAACAGAAGTCCCTGGAGACGTGCTACAAAGGCAACAATAGAATATTACATTAATACAAAATGCTTTTTTCTTAAATAAAATGTGAGTTAAGTTAATCCTAGCAGTCCCAGTGTTCTGCCAGTGTGAAGCTTTCACACAACGCGTTTGGTTTATCTTACTGTCAATCAGCATATCAATAGCCATGATCCCTGTGTGCAAAATGCTTCGCTGTAAACCCTCGTCACATGTTGTCATGGCAATCCAAGCAAGTGCATGTCAGAGTCTGATTGTTTCTTATTCTCCTCAATGGGGGGAGATGCTCTAAGGAGTTCATTAAATAACTGACAACAGGAATGTTCACCAGAGCTGTTGCCCGTGAACAGGCACTTCTGAGTGGTTAGATGTAATGCCAAATTCTCTCGCAGCAGCTCTGGGGGACATTCCTACAGTTGGCATACCAATGTCACGCTCCTTCAAAATTTGTGACATCTGTGGCATTGTATTGTGCAATCAAACTGCACATTTTTGAGTATCCCTTAATAGTGACCAGTCTGAGACACGTGTAGTAATCCACAAAAAAAGAAACATTGTCAGGACATACTTTAAAATGACTCATAGTTGATGTGGTTCTGAACACTAGTCTTCTGGGGAAAGTCCTGTGGTTTGTGGCCCATCCACCACCCCAACCTGCCTCCTTACTGGACCACTTCCTTGTTCACTCCCATCAGTGCACTGGTCACCATGATCACAGCCTTCTAAAGTACATGGATTATGCACGAATTACTGGTCCAAGATTACACGGATTTATGTATGCACTTGGATGCATTACTTTATGTACAAAAAGGCACGAACAGTTCCTGAGAACAGCCTGAATAATCATGCTGTTTAATCGGCTTGATACACCACACCTGTCAGTTTAAGAGATTATGGAATATGTTGGCAAAGTGTCGACTAAAATGGAATTTACAAAAAATTTCAACAAAATTTGCTAGAAAAAAACTTTTTGTATGCACAGAAAATGTATTAAATCATTTATAACTCATTAACTCATGAAAAATGGGAGCAAACACAAAAATGTTGCATTTATATCTTTATTGAATGTGACAGACAGTATGTACCATTGTAGCATATGTAGCATAATATGTAGTATTGTCATAAATCAGTCCTTCCAGAAAATCACGATCTTGTGATCACAATAATTGACGCAAATTCAACGTAAGTCTGCAATATTTGCGAGGGCTTGCAATTTTTCAAAAAACCCGCAATTTTTCCACGTTTTTCCACATTTTACGTCATTTGAAACGTCATCAGAGGTGCAGTATGGAGAAACGCTCTGTATTGACATAAGAATTTGCACTGTTTAAATGCATACAGTATGTGCTGAATGTATTAAAATGCTATGTTTACAGTCACATTGTCTGGTTTGAGAGCTACAGTGTTCACTCAGGATTTTTTGCAACATTATTGGAGTCCATGTTTTGAAATTAATTAAATAAAACTAAACAAGAGAACTATAAAAAAACATTTGCAGCTATTTTTGTAATATTCAGTATGATTATTATAGCAAGTGATTACATGACTTATTTTTTTGGAGGTAGTAATTTAAGAAAAATCACATTTCTTTTTCTCCTTTTGTCATTAGCCACAATTTTTGTCATTAGCTGCAATTTCCCACAAAAAAATCACAGAAAAATGTTGCAATTTTTATCGAATTTTTTGACAAAATTGGCCGCAAATTCAAGTTTTTTTGCTGCGAGATCCTGGAGGGACTGATTAATATGTGCCTGCATGGATAACAGTTTAACAAGTCGTAGCTACATGTCTGCTACATTAAGAAACAGAAACACTGCTGCACTTTTGCTTTGAGGAGGAGTAAAGTTTGAATGTTGTTGATTCATTTCTACAACATTATAAATGTCAACAGACACAAACGACAGTATAAAGCAGCTTATAGCTGCATTGCTAAGATAAACCAGTGGAGATGTGTTGTTGCCGAATCTTGCAGTTAGATGTTATAGGACTAAAGGTCGGGCAGCAACTGAGAGATCTGTTCTTCACCTGCTGGGAAAATGATGCTGTACAACAGCAGAGCTATAATGATGCTTAGAGAGATAACAGAATGAAGTGGTGTGGTTCAAGATGTTACCTTAAAGCAGATGATAAAGAGGGTTTTGCCTCACCTGGAGATCTTAAGGAGCCGACCCCACTGGGCTGTTTGAGAGCTCCAATAAGTGGAGGTGCACCATGAGATAAAGATGGGATTAATTGGTATCTTCTTGGAGAGGATGATGTACAGACCTTTGCCTCACCTCGAGTAATAGTCATGGACCTCCCTCAGAGAGGTGCTGAAGGATCACTATAAGAGGATTAGCCTTGTAAAGAGGTTGATCCAGAGACCTCTGTGTCACCAAAGTTGTCTGGCCATATTAATACTCTGAGAGTTAATAGCCTCTTTCCCGCTGCAAGGACAAGTGAGCCGCCATTGCATCCATTAGAGGTCAGACATTAGCCATCAGCTGCCAAGGGAATTCCTGCTTTGAAATCAATGGAAGCTGCTCAGCTTTTTCTTTGCATCTGCACTGCTTCTTCTCTGACAGAAAGCTCAAAAATTCAAGAGGTTAAATTCACCTGAATATGGAAAAAATGTTGACTCCAGTTGGAGTTTGAGGGTTAACTGGACAAACCAGATATTTACTGACCCCATTTAAGTGCTCCATATTCTTTTCCCTCCAGTGACCAACTTCACATTCTTATACTTTGACACTCACATTAGGGAGCAGCCCAGTTCAATCAGAGCATTTTACTCTGAGCATCACAGGAACAATTGAGGGTTAGAATGTAATACAAGACTGAAAGGCACTAGTGATGTATTTGAAGCTTCAGCCCAGCGGTCATCAGGTTAGCAATCTTCTTTGCTGGTAACAAGACCCAAGAAGGACCCAGAAAAAGGTGTGAAGATGCACTGAGTGGTGGGAATGATGAGTAAGCTGGAGTAAGCCTTGGCACGCCCTGCTTGGCATAGCAATAATACTCCACTAGGGTTTTGGCTGGCTTTATACTGGCTTAGGTGCCAGTGGGTGGGTTTTAAATATTGCAAGGGCTAAAAAACTCACTTAATCTTCATGTGTTCACAATTGAACTCGTTCAGAAAGTCTGCTGTTGGAGGACCACTAGAAGCCAGTCAGAGCCTGTATTTCTCTAAACTCCTTAGATATTGTATTAAACTTGTAGCCTCTTTTATTGTTGTTTTTTTCCTTGATGTTTTGAATTTTTTTAAGTCACTTCTGTTATCAACCTCTTTGCTCTTGACAGTACTGTAACTTTTTTTTAAGGGTTTTTGGAGTGAATGCTACAAAAATGCACACACAGTAGTTCCATATGATAGACAGTATGATTTAGCGCCCCATGACTGATGTTACGTCCTTAATGTAAAGTAATGTAAAGTAATGTAGTAATGCAAGCTATTTAGCCTTTCAGCGACTGCAGACCAGATTTTATTGCGCTTGTGATGTACCCCAAAGTGGAACACCACTTAGTGTTCATCATAAAAGTTATAGTAATTGCTTTGGGGCATGTTAACATGCATTTCATTGCTTCACTTTATTGAGCATCCATGTAAACAATTAAGTTGGATTCTGTAATCAGGATATTTTGAATTGTGTAAGGTATATTGTCCATATAACCACAGCAACTGACAGTATGTTCCACAAGCTTACATTTTTGAATCAATAAAGTGTGGGGACTTATATTTTTTGGTTTCATGTCTCTTAACAGGAGGAGTTTGTGTGCGAGCCCCCAATGATAACTCGCCATACCTCCAAGATGTTTGTGATGGAGGGTCAGGAGGTCAGCCTGCGCTGTAAATCCATTGGAGATCCTGAGCCCTCGACACATTGGGTCAGTCCTGATGGAAAGCTGATTGGCAACACATCGAGAACCATCTGCTACGAGAACGGCTCGCTTGACATCCTAAAGGCATCCGTTAAGGTGGAGACATGGTTTCATTTTCATGAAATATGGTTATGTGATCAATCTGTTAATTCATGTTAAAACTGTCAGTGTGCTTTCTATGCATTTCTGTTTTATTGTATAAATTCAAATACCAAAAACAATTCCTTTTTGTAGCTTTTTATGATCTACTCTTTAGTGGGTATAGCTTAAGATCAGTGACTACATTTATAAAGAGCATTTGAAAACAAGTAATGCACTTTTTGGGGGGATTAAAATATACTTTTTTGTGATTATAAAGCATGTTTACTGCTTAATAAGCTATTGTGGACTTTATTAGCATTTTGTTTTGAATTTACAATACCAGATTGAAGAGTAACATGCATAATAAGTAGCATAAAAATAAAAAAGAGATGGAATATATTTAACATTTCCTAAACACATACTTTTGGCTTAAGTGCAAATTTAGGAACATCAAATACAATTACTGCCTGCATTTGGCAGGAAAATTAGCAAATCAACTGTTAGCTGTTAGCTTGCTACCAAGAAATCTTAAGCGCCATTTGTTTATTACATTTGTCAGTGTGAAATCTGTTACAACAAAATAGATCGTTATTCAAATGTTTTTGACTGCCAAAATATCATCATGACTTAACCAAATCAAAAATAAAGAGTCTGTTCATTATAATTGGTTTCACGGGGAACTCACAATCAGAGTAAAAGTGAGGTTAATGTTGGGTATCCTCTTTTCTTCTCCAATGATTTCTAGGATTCTGGAAAGTTTACGTGCATAGCATCTAATGCAGCTGGGGAGGCCACTGCTCCTGTTGAGTTAGTCGTCAACCCTTCGCCACACTTTGACCCCAAACTGGACCCCGACCCAGGGCCTTCAGACATCCCCACATCCATCAAATCCAATGCCAGCGGAGGTCAGGCCCGGTACGACCAGCAGAGGGTCAGTGTGTCGGATCTAACATCCAGTTCTGCTACCATTCGATGGCCCCCGCAGAACCACATACCCGGAGTCCGCATGTACCAGATCCAGTACAACAGCTCCACAGACGATATCCTCATATACAGGTAAAAGGCTGAAGAAGATGAAACTTCTGCATATACAAGCCATCCTCAGTGTTCAGACAGAATTACAGAGTATTAGTCCGAATCTAAAACAATAGGTTTCTGCTCCACAGTAGATAAACACAAAGAATGCTCCTGATGTGCAATGAAACCATTGCCGGATCGCAGGTACAATTTAGAGAAACAAAGACCTTCATAGGACACATGACTTTTCCTTTGTGCTTACTAGTAATGCACTTGATTAAAGAAGGTGATGTTCCTGATTTAAAGCCCAGTTGCTAGAAGAAAATGTTGGCATTGTACATGTCTGCAGTTTGCACGTTTCACCATATCAACATTTCAAATGTTATGTAGTATATGAGCTGACTTTGTCTTCTGGAGGTGGAGGGAATGATGACTTGCGTGTCACCTATGCCAGATGGCTGCTGAGCTGCAGACCACTGTTCAAGACCAACGAACAAAAACCGTGTGTTTTAGCAAGTCACTGTTGTGTTTCCAGCAGCTTTTAGGTATTTTTTAACAACTTGTCGCTGTTATTTGACCAGGGATAGTGTTACAAAAAGTGGTTGTTTTTACTGAAACATCGCTGCATTTCTAACAAGGATTGTGCTACAAAAAACAGGTATTTGAAGCCAAAACATGTTCTTTTCCTAACCATAACCAGTTTTGGGCTAGTTAATCTAAAATCGTAATTTATTACTCAATATTCATAACTCTTTTCAAAAGTTAAGTTATTACTTTATTTATTACTCCCTGCCATCAGTAATACATAACACTACTTGTCATATTACTTCTCCATTACACCCCACAGAATTGGTAATTACATCTTTTCTCCTCAAAATTCAGACTTTGCATGTGCGCCTCTGTGTTAATGTGAGGGTAATTGTTAATTTAAATCCAGACTTCTTCTATTGCCTGTGGCATATGTTTTCCCAAGAATCTGACTGAAAGATGGACAGTTAATCCTGGAGTCTGGCAATATCTCATCCTCCCTATACCCAGCCACAACCTTAATTTGTAGCTGCAGCTGTCCACAATTAAACCCAGTTGTGGTTGTTTAGCCAGTGTAAGGTTGCAGCATTCCTGCATGGCCACCGAGGTCTCACCTTTGGTGGGGTGTATTTCATGGAGCTTCACGTTGTTGCGCTGTCGTAGTAGGTGTTTCAGACCAAAGGTTTGAGGACATGTTTTTCGCAGTAGAAAGACTGTGACTGTCACCACCTACAGTAACAGTGATCTTGTCATTTTAACTCCCGACAAAGTTAAAGTAATTGGAATATTCCCAGCCACTTAAGGTAAACTTTTCCATCTTCCAAACTAGCTTGCTACTTTGTGACATACAAGCCCAGTGCAATGATTGCGTGTTACGCGAGCGGTTACGTCAGTTGGAGGCCTCCACGTGGGGAAGACAGACATGACGCTCGGCCAATCATTGCATTTGGTCCGAATGCAATGATTGGCTGAAGTTTTTTTTTAGAACCATATGAGAATGGTACAATTATCAGTTTTTTGTCTCTGGTGGAATTCACTTACATTTTAGTGTGCCATCAGCTTATTAATAGCATTTTAACCTAAACAAAGAAAAGCATAAAATTTCCAGAAAGGTAAATGTTGCTTTAAGTCAAAATAAATTCTTTCAAAATACACTTTAATTTTCACAGGAAATGTACAGTTTGCATACTGTCGCTTTCAAAATAAATGCACCAAGTTGGTACAACACAGGGAATTGACTTTTTTTTTTTCCTTCAAAAACAAACGCACGTGGTTACATTTTGCCAGCACATACACATGGTTGGGTTTAGAAATAAAGAACAGGGTTTGGCGTAAGCGAACACTGGCCTCCCGGGTGAAGGGTGGTGGTTGTTGGACCCATCCACCACCCCTCCCGCCTGCCCTACTCAGATCATCACTGCCTTAACTTTCGTTGTTTTCTCGTTACATTTCCCCTTGACGCTGTCAGGCACTATTAAACAATAATTGCGACCGGTCGCATACCACGCTGACGTGAAAGGACAGCTTTTGTTGTCGGTGTCTGATGCTGGAAGTCACTGTTTGACTTCAGATTGAGACCGGGTGGTTTCTGCCCAACACTGACCATAACCCTATGATTTTTGTGCCTAAACCTCACCACACATTAACCACAGCATTTTTGAAATGATAAGAAATGTAAAGTTTCAGCATATCCACTACAGAAATGTACGATGCCAACATTTCTGCAGCAGTTAGGTTGTGATTATCTGGAGTAATCCACCACTCAGGGCAGTGGGAAAGAGTGCTTGTATGTGACGAAGATCTACAGAGAAAAAAGGAGTAGTGCATCTTTCCTGGGGATCATTTCTGCCTGAAGTATAAAAATACAGTTTCTGCCTAGTTGCTGATGAGGCTGGATGCTTTGATAAACTGAGATTATATTCAATTTACATGCCATAAATTGAAATCACTGTAAATAGCACAGTTTTCAGCTCCAACAAAGCATCCTGTTCCACTCTGTCTCACAGTAGCATGCATGTTCTCTATCATCTTGTTCCAGTTCTTTGCTGAGGTTTTATGCTATTAACACTAAGTGAAATACTCAAACCCAAGAATCTATGTTTGCACTACATCGATTTTCTAGATGTCTGCTGCATCATTTTAGACACGTTTCCCTAAAACCCCTCCTGACATATTTGGTATCTTTGTGATGCACTCTAGAATGTAAAGCTTAATTGAGGCTTTGTGGGTTTGAACAATGTCTGGCTGCACAACAGCTCTTTATTTTATTAGTATATCAGGATCCATGCAGGCAGCTATGTGAATATCGCTTTACAGTGTATCAGCAAAGGATGTTTAGTGTTACATATGGCAGTCATATTGGAGATATCCAGGTCACTGCAGCAACACTGTGAACAGCCGAATGTCTTTCCAACAATGTGTACAACATGTGTATTCCTACGTGTGTGTGTGTGTGTGTGTGTGTGTGTGTGTGTGTGTTTTGTTTGGTGATTTGACTGGCATATGAGTTTGTTTTGTTTATGTGTGATGCTGTGTATTTGTCCTCTGGGCCTGTTGGTTATGTTTATGTATTTATATGTTTGAGCCTTTGTGCTTATCAGGTGGAAAAAAAAAAGTTGTTGTTTTTTTCTCCACGATAAAAACAGGTAGAGGAAGTGTGCGAATGTGAGTGGGATTTCTGTTCCTTTCTGTATGTCTTTGCTCCAAACACATATCATCCCTGTGTGGGTAGTTATCACCAAGGTCTTCCTTGCGTAGGAGGCTGTTTCAGGTTGTGTGAAAGTGAACAGCTCAGTGAGCAACAAAAGACGAGTAAACTGGGGAAAAAATGTGATTTGGCTTTCAGGCAACAAATATCAGATCAGTTCTTGAGCTCCCAAAACATTATTTGAAAAACTTGAGAATTATGGTATTATGGTCATAATTCAGAGCGTAATCAGTTTGCTTTTTGAAGTGAAAATCCATCCCAAAACACAACAACACAGCTTTAATCCTTGGTGAGGTTTGTAGGGGGAGCTGGGAAAAGTCCACCCAAGAACAAAAAGCTATTAATGATAAACTTAAATCCTCCTGCAGTTACTGGTGTTACACTCTTGGCCAGAAATGACAGAAGAGCATCTCAGAGCTCTAGGGTCTGCTCACATAGAGACAAAGAAATCAAGAATGAATTCCAAAAGACACCTGCAATAGGCTAAAAAATGGGAAGAAAAAGATGTAACAGCATAAATCTGAAAATTAATGAGTAAAGCCAGGCAGAACATTAAGATTAATGTAAAGCAATCATTTTCTACTATTCAAAAGCAAAGACTATGCAGAAAAATGTCCAAAGGGGGAAAATCAATGCAGAAAAAAATCATTGAACTGTGCAGAACCCAGTGCAAAAGAAATACATCTTACATAAAATATATTGTTCAAGCACATAAAATTTGCAGCTGTGCAAATGAGGAGGCCAGAAATTAAGAAGATCAAACACTGATGCAATAATAATATATATTAAATAGTGCACTTTAAAAAAAAGTAAATGAGGTGTGAAACTTCCCCGAAGGAATCTTTTGGTCTGTCTCCAGACCTGAATCCTCTCGGCAGCAGCTGATTTGCACACCCTAATCACCAGATGTGGATTTCAGAGCATGTTTCAGGCTGGAGCTGCCAAGTGGCTGAGTGTGGACCCCTCTATCAGCCCATGATACTGAGTGACCACTGGATGGTCCCATCAGCCACTTAGCCAGCTCTGTAACCTAGCAACGTCATTCAGGATGTATAATTGAGTGTTATTACGAAGCATTTGGAGGGCTGACAGATGACAGTTTGAAATGTGTCCGCGGCCTCAATTCTCATTTTAACCAAAAACCAAAGGCACTCAAGTGACTATTTTATAGCCTTCGATTGGAGGGAACACGTGGTCAGGTGTAGAGCATCCAAATGGATCATTTCAGATTGAACCGTGTGGGTGACCTAATGGTTTCCCAGGGAATGGGAGGGTGTTTTGCTCACAGCAAACTGTGACACCAGGCAGCCTGGTGTCAGCAGGTTAAGCAAGATGACTGTCCATGCATCTTAAAATGAGTCAAAGTTCACATGGTTCTGAACATGGGTCCCCCGGAGAAAGTCCTGTGTACTGTATTGTGACCCATCCGCTGCCTCAATCAGTCTCCTAACAGGACCGCTATGGACTGCTTCCTTCTTTACTCCCATTAGTGCATTGGACACATGATAGCAGACTTCCAAATTACGTGGGATATGCATACGTTTTCTAGCTTATCATTACGTGGGATATGTATGAATTTTGGTGCATTACTTTTCATAGCAAAACATTAACAGTGCATGAGGACAGCTTGCACACATGTAGCACTCAACAGGAGATTGTCTGTGTTAGGCGTGTACTCACCTACTCTAAATACTCCATTTGGTTTAGGTAAGGGACGGCACCTCAGTAGAGTATGCACAAGGCAGGACATGATGCAAAAAGTACGCTGCAGAAATATCAATGTTTTGTTTACAAAGTCATAATT